TTCAAATTAGATGGTGGTTAACTTAGTAATACTTTGTCTTCATAATATACATATACATATGTATATGTATACACACACACACACACACAAACACTAGTTTTTGATGTAGCATTCTGTTTAGTTTTCTTAATCATGTTGGCAACTTATTCTATTAATGGCAGAACAGCATTTCTTTCAGTTACTAGTAGAAAGCCAATAAGATTTTGCTGCTAATAGTAATGAAAAATGGTTAATGGTGCCATTATGTCTGAATGTATGTGAAAAAGAAGAAGAGAATGATGACCTGATGAATGATGATGTTTTGTTAACTGAAAATTATCAGATTGTCAAGAAGCATTCAAGCATGAATATGATAAGTGCTCCTTCTTAACTTAGAGATGGCTGTAATTTTAGCCTTTCTGCTTTTGGAAATAGATGGTTGCTGAACAGATCTATTCAGTATCTATTTCAGTCTATGCATCACAGCTCTTTTTTTACAAACGGAAGTTTAGAATCATTCAGAATCATTTTCAATTGTTCTACAAGTGTAAATGATGTGTAGGTTATTTAATTTTTTTTTAAAGAAAAAAAGCTGGACAACAAGCTTTTTCAGATGCTGTAAGGAGAATCGTGCTTCTCTGCCTTTTGCTCTCCCTCCCCCCTGCAGTCACATGATCGCAATCTGGATGCTTGGCAACCTGTTCGGACTTCTGATCAGTTGCCAAGCACCCCATGATACTGTGATCGCCATTTGCAATTTTCTCTGCCGGCTCCCAAAGAAAGTCAAAAGGGAAACTGGCAGGGCAGATTGCAAGCTGCAGCTGACTGCTCCCTCTCATCTCTGGGGATTGGCTGAAAGAGCTGCTTGCCAATTCCTTTACTGGGGTTGAGAACAGAGCTTAATTTCTGATTATTTGAGCTCTTTCTGTACCCCGACAAAGGAGTTGCCTTTCATGCATAGGGGAGAGATGATATCCTTTGACAGGTAGCTCTTTCAGCCAGCCCCTAGAAATGAGAGGGAGCCAAAAGCAAAGCAGAGAGTAGAGAGACAGTGCAATAAGGTAAGCAGAACTGGGTGCCTCAGATGGATGGGGCCCGATGAGGCTGTGTGCAAATGTCTCTCCCTTAGGGGCTGAAAATCCTGCTTGGATTTCAGCAGGGAGGATTTTCAGCTTCAAAGTTGAACCTCCCAGGCAGTATCTTCCCAGGCATCCTGCACTACTTCCCTGGGACTCCATTCACTTGGTCACTTAATGACTGCAAACAGGAATGCCAGGATTGCAGTTGTTGAATGAAGGTGTTACTCTTAACCATTTTGTGCAACTATCAAGATTTAAGCCTTAAGATTTAGATTGTAAGATGAAAACTGTATCTATGGGCATGCTTCTATGTTTTTCTGTGAAAGCCATTTGAGTTTGTTTAAGAAAAACATTGGTATGTGCAGATGGGAAATCAATTTTACAAATGGGTTAGCTTATTTGACAGTCAACTACATCTTGATGGGGGATGGGGGTGGGATGGTGAGTATGGCTTTTGACCAACCAAGAAGTGACAAAGACATAAATTATCATGAGCAGAACCTCCTCTTATGGGAACAGGCACAATTGATGTGCAAGATGGATTTGTACAAAAGTCCTAATGAGCAGGGCTGCCACCTGATCTCCAACCATAAGTCCAGAAGGATTCCCAAACTGTACTTTTCTGACGAAGTGCAATCCTACCAGACTCAGTCATGGAAAATCTCTGGGCTCAGGGAGCTGTAAAACCCAGATATTCAGTCTTGCTGTGGTTGAGTCAAAGTTTTCCCCAGCCAGATTCCCATAGCCTCCAGGCACTGTAAACTACCGTGGCATGACTTGGCCGCTGAGAACAGAAAGCTACAGCTGCTTAATTCATTCCATGCGAATAGAAAACTGATGCCAGAAGCTTATGTAGATATTAAATAGTCAATCCCGAAATTATTTCACAATTCAGGGATCTAGGGCCAGACTTCTCCTTTTTTACCAACACTGAGTAGAGCTGTCCTTGGAGGAAGAAGTTACAGTCACCACCTGGAACATTCTATGACCTGTTCCATCCTACTTCACACTCATCAAGTGGTGATAGTGAGATGTTATTCTATGGGATTCAAACCTTTACTGGGAATTGAACTCATGTACATGATTAACTCATGTACATGATTATTATGCCCCCACCCTCTGGAATGAACTACCCCCCGAGATCCGGATGATTCCGGATCTCCTTACTTTCCGCCGCGCCCTCAAGACATGGCTTTTTCAGCAAGCGGGCCTTACCTAGGGAGGATTTTAGGCAGGGATAATTTTAAAAGTATTTTAATCGGAAACACAGCTGATAATATTTGGTTTTAATTCGGCTTTTATCGGGGTTTATTTTTTGTATTTTTGTATTTTTGTGTTTTGTATTTTTTTTGTATTTTGTGTATATTATTTGTTTTTAATATGCTGTGAACCGCCCTGAGTCCTATGGGAGAAGGGCGGTATACAAATTAAAATAATAAATAAATAAATAAATAAATTTTTCAGGAGTTAACCAAGTCCTGGTCCTCTGTGGTTCCCAGAAGAGATATATAGAATCTATGAGAATGGCATCTGTAATCCACCTTTACATAAGCTCTCAAAGCAGAGAGAAATTCCATAGAATAACATCTGGCTACCTATGTCTAACAAGGTGAAAATAGGGTGATTCCAGTCATATAGTACCAATCTAACTGAAAGCACCACACAGGATATAGGTCAGGGGTGTCAAACTTCTGGTCCGCAGGCTGGATGCATCATAGCGAAACCGTGCCCACCCCATTGCTGGCAATGGCAAAAAAGTCGTGATACGTCACGACACGTCATGTGACGTTGTGAGTTTGACACCCCTGATATAGATCATGTAAAATAGAGAAATATCCCCTCTGCTCCAAAGAGAAAGGGTAGACATGTAAAATCCTATACATGGAGCATGACAATGTAACATCCTCAATTAGCCAACCCTTTCACAACCTCAGGACTAACTGACTTGAGTTTTTCCAAGATGACCAAGCACAAACTATGTCTCAATCAACTACATGGGACCTGCATAGACAGAAGCCAATTCTGAGCAAATCCTAATGTACATGTAGTCCTTATATAACAATTGCATTAGATAGCAAACTTTCACAAATACGATGGTAATAATGGTAATAAAAAATAAAAAATAAATTTGCTGACTAATGCATGCATTTACAACAACAAAAGCCTTCAGTGTAAAAGTGTAAGGTCTGGTGAGTTTCAGGCAGCAGCTTCCAGCTGGTGAGAGCATTGTCACCAAGGTCACTTGCAGCTTGTATTTTTTTTTTTACGCAGGAGCAGCACTGAGGAGAAAAGCAGCTCAAGAAGAGATTGCTTGTTTAAGCATCTCTCCACCCTATGCATGGACAAAAAAGTGGGGAGGGAATGGATCCAGCATAGGCCACTGCTTGAGAGAACTTTATCTGAATGAGTTCTCTACAACAAAGGTCTCCAACCTTTTGGGCACTAGGGACCAGTTCTGTGGAGAGAGGTTTTTCCGTGGACTGGGGGGGGGGATGGTTTTGTGTGCTGCCTGCATCCCACATATGGGGCTTTGCTTGGTCTATGGCCCAGTTGCTGGCATGCTGCGGCCTAGTACCGGTCCACGGACCAGGGGTTGGGGACCCCTGCTCTACAACAATCAGCAAGCTTCACATCATCTCTCTTTGTCATATGTTTCACTCAGTGATCCTGTCACTTGGTGGCAATTGCAGTCACAAAACAAAGACTACCTGTATCCAACAAAAGCCTAGAAAATTCCTTACGGTGGTCCTGCAAGGGTACCTTCTCTAATACGTGACTTACCTAGAAGGGACTTAGTCACTCTAAACAAATATCTCATCTGCTTCAAACAGAAAGGGTAGACTTCATATAAAATCCTATACATGGAGCATAAAAGTGTACCATCCTGATATGTTAAGAATTATTGGATTTTAAATTAATGTTTGCTTTTGTGGGGCCAAGAAGAGTTCTTGATCAGTTTTTAAATAACATATGCATATAAGGAGAACTAAAAGTAGTTAAGGGTATTAATTTTTTACTTAACTCTGTTGTTTACACCAATCATGAACATGATAAAATCTCAGTAACAAGTTCAGAATTGTTGTCAGATATCAACCTTGCTCTGTTACTTTTCCATCTAGAGAGATGTTTGGATCTTTTAAATATATGTTTGAAAGGGGCGAACAGGTTCAAACACCTGTTTGCCCAGAAAATCTTGGATATGAGGTAATTGAAACATTACAAACTTAGCCACTGCTCCTAATTACACTGAATAAGTGAAGCCAAGTAGCTCATAGGATTTTGTAGGGGAAGAGATGGGGACTGTCCAGGAGTTTTAATTAATTAATTAATTTGCTATCCATTTATTTGAAAAACAAAAAACAAATTCCCAGCAGAAATAATCTAATTATGGAATGTTAGACTTTGGGAATTTGTCTTCTAAACTAGTGTGAAGAATGAGACTTCCATAATGCTGAGCTTCAAGAAACATATCAGAATTTGATCAAATCCATCATTGGACTAGTTTTTCAGTAATAGACAAATTAACCAGAGATCTTCAGCTCTTATATCAGCATAAATAGTACAACTCCATAAAAAGGGATAAAATTTTGTTAATCCCTTTTCCTTTTCCATCCATCATCACAGGTTCAACCTTGTCATCAAGTTCTAGCTATGCATTACACACTAAACTAAAATAGAGTGCTACATGCAGACTTGACACAAGAGCTGCTGTTTAAAACTGAAATAGCTGTTGTATTGCGGCTAGAGCAATTATACCAAATTATCTTCCAGTCATCCTTCCTGAAACAATGTAATTGTTATTTCTTGCTCTAAAAACTAGCTGTAGTTGCTTGTGAACAATGATACACTCAGACCTCCAAGAAATCGCTCTGAATTTCTTTGATTGTTACTTACAGTTAGTCTTGCATAGATCAACAATAATAAGTATCCCTTTGTCCCCAGAAAGGACCTTCAGAAGGGTCTGACCGAGTGAAGAAAGGTGGATCCTATATGTGCCATAAGGTAATGATAAAAAGTCTATATTATTTGTCTAATTATAGTATCTGCAGTCTTTATTTGTGTATCCACTAAAAGCTAATAAATAATAAATTGTGAACATATGAAGACAGGAACCGATTGGAAGTGGTACGTCAAATAGAAATAACTTGATGAATAAGCAAGGTCTACTTGGAGTTTATTTGAGCTGAGATAAAATGTCAATTGTCTTCTAATTTTAGCTTGATGGCAATTTAGCTGTCACACCTTCTTAAGACAACAATGAACTTGGCAATCTTCTTTTTGCTCCAGCAACCAACCTCTAAAACTGCCAGCTTGTGGGTTTAGAGTTTTTAAAGAACATCAAAGTGCCTTTTTGAGACAAAGAAAAACCATTATGGCCATCACAAGTGTAACAAACATTGGACCACAAGCTAATCTTCGGTGGAGCTCTAGGGTTGCAGACTGATTTTTCATCTAGTTTTTTGTCCCCAAGGCTTTCCATTACTCAGCCCAGGGATGCTATTCTTGTTAGATTTCCAGAATCATTACTGTGTGATATAAAAGATGAAGCCAGATACTGCAAGAGCAGTATAATTGAATGGCACCTCAGTGGTCTCTGCTTTGGGTCACAGCTAACAGTATGTTAAAATCAACTTAACCCAAGAGGAAATGAAGAAGCTAAGCTCTGCTTTTGTTTTGCTATCTGTTATTACTTATTGAATACTACTCTCTGATTTTCCCCCACAATAACCCTATGGAATTGGCAGGGTAGAAAAATGGTGACTGCTCCAAAGTCATTCCAGTGAGTTTCTATGGCTGAGGATCAATTTGGCTCTTCACATCCCTACTACTTTTAGCCACCAACAATTAGAATAATAGGATCTCAGGCAACCCATGTAGAATTCTTTAGAGCTGAACTAGNAAACACAAACAGCAAAACTCAAGTCCAAAGGAAGGAAATAGTCCACAGGAACACGTTGCAAACAAGACGAACAGACCAGGATTCCAAGAAGCACTTTGCAAACGGTTGCCTTCAGCAACCAGCACCGCCCACACCTCCCCTTTTTATACAGCAGTCCCAGGGCGTTGCCTCTCATTGCCTTCTCCTTTTACTTTGGAGTAGTCGCATAGACTGTTGTTGTTTTTCTCTCGCTACTTGACGACGTCTGCGAGCATCAATTAGCACATCCAGGTGTGAGCCTTCCGAATCTGACTCATGCTCCTCACACAGCCGAGCTTCATCAGAAACACGACTGGAGGGGCCAGGCTCTTCATCAAGCCGTGAGTCCTGTAATTCATCAGAGCCTCCCTCTGACCCTGATGGCCCCTCAACGGCCTCCTCCACCTCCTCCTCAGATTCCTCAGACTCAGTTGTTGGGAACACAGGCTGGCACAACACTGGGCAACTTACAAAGTTAAAAAGAGAAAAAAGCAAAAACAATAGCAATAGCACTTAGACTTATATACCGCTTCACAGTGTTTTACAGCCGTCTCTAAGCGGTTTACAGAGTCAGCATATTGCCCCCCCCCAACAGTCTGGGTCCTCATTTTACCAACCTCGGAAGGATGGAAGGCTGAGTCAACCTTGAGCCGGTGGCACTCGAACTGCCAAACTGCTGGCAGCCAGGAATCAGTAGAAGTAGTCTGCAGTACTGCATTCTAACTACTGGGCCACCACACCACCAATATATATGCTTGGATAAAAATAATCACCAAGCCAGTAAAACAAAACAAAACAAAAAACATACTATACAAAATTTGTCTGGGGCTCAACAAACAACCATATTCCAGATCTGGAAATAAAACCATGTTTTAAAATCTCGCGGGACGAGATGAATTTCCAGGCAATGTATTTAATTGTTTGAGTGAACTTGAAGCATCTCACTCTACCTGATCCTATTGGACAGGCTGGAACCAATGGAGACAGGCAGTCCCTCAGATAACTAGGCTCTTTGCCATGAAGGGCTTTATAGATGACAATCAGTAATGGTAGATTCCAGAGGGTCTACAAGGGCAGTCTGGTAGTACATGTTGCAGTAGTCCAGTTATTAGATTACTAAAGCATCTGAAGGACCCTTCCCGCCCCAGGCCAGGAAGAGGCACAACTTGAGCATAGGATGAACTATGCAAAGGTCTGCTCACTATAGCTGCCATCTGTCCCTCCTGCCAAATTGTAATTTTTAAAATGACATAAGGGAAAATGAATCAAAAACATGACAGTTAATCATTTTAATTGCATTTAATTACATTAAATTGGTTTTAGTGAAAATGATGCATCTCTTTAAAGTATAATTCAAATTGAATCTGGTTCAATTGTTATCCTGGCCTTGCCCTTTTCTTTGTCTTGCTCATTTCTTGGGTTGCAGCCCTCCATCAAAGGGCACACACATCTCCCATGGTGCACAAAAGGGAAAGAATTGCACTGAAGGCATTTCCTCTTATAGTGTATTTATCAGCATATGGAAAGTTGTGAAAGTGTTGCCTAAAAAGAGAACACTTTGAAAATTGGGGATAAATCTATTTTAAAAGTATTTACTCTTAGCACTCAGCAACTGATTTAAAATAAGTCCTAAGCAAATTTTATAAATGGGAAGGTATCCACGTGCCTATGCACCCATTTGGCTAATTCCCAATGTAATTAATGCCAAGGTTTTTGAAAAATCCTATGCAAAGCAAATAATGTTCCCTGTTTAATTTATTCTAATTAAAAATAATGTACTTTTTTCTGTAATGTTTAAAAAATCTTATTTAATAACCATTTACAAAACTTTCTGCGTAACAGCTGCCACTTTCTACTCTGAGATCAAATATTCTACTTGATCTTATTTGGAGGTGAAATTAATGTCACACATTAATTAGCAGATTTGATTAAATTAACAGGATAAAAGGTTTTTTTAGAGATAAGTAATATGGCCCATTTTAGTCTACAATATACAAGATAAATTTTCTTTATTAAGGCTGCTAAAGGTTCCTGTTACTTTCAAAACTTAAAAGCATAGTTAAATAGTACATAATCTTTATGAGAAATGGGTGGTCCCCAGTCTCCGTCCATTTTGAGTGTATAGACATAATAAAGTTAATACAAATCAAAGATAGTCAATATTTCTTATCTGCATTACAATTATGTGAATCATTTTTCCTTAAATATAAAAAGGAAAATCCTAGTGAATCTTTTCCCTCAATTTTTTTAGTTGCATTAAGTTCCTGCAATTTGCTCTTTTTGCTATACTATTTTGTCAGAAAAGCACAAATGCATAAATTCTATTAGATTTTTTTTAAAAAAAAAAGATTTTGATCGTATTCTAATTTATTTCATATAACACTTTAAGAACAGTTGATGAGAGATAAAGTAACACTTCTAAATTCAGAGTTATTAAATGCTGGCTTATTTTTGTTATTTTGCCTGCCAGCAAATGCTTATTGTGAAAATAGAACCTCAATCAGACAAACTGTGGCAAAGTATGATTTAAGGAAACATTTACACTAAAAAAATCATTTTGTGCTGTACAAATATATATATATATATCATATTTGCATAAAAATGTTCTGCTTAAGAGAAGCAGGCTGTCATTGTTCGGATAGATGAGACCAGTAAAAACAGAAGTCCAAGGCAAGAGGTTTCCTTAAAGAACATATTTATTCGCTGCATAGTATTGGTATGATCAAAAGCCATTTCCACTTCATTTTCGGTTGCCACAAGCATCACACAAACACAATATTCCTTTTTCTCTGAAGTTTTCTATATTTTTGCCAATCCCAAATATGCAGCCATTTGAAATTCTCTCTTGAGAATTCAAAAAGAAACCCAAATGTATGAAATGCAAAATTATATATATTTAAAGCTATTATTTTATGTTTATATGACATAAGATTAAATTATTTTATTGGGACAAGTATTGGGTATAAGCATAGGTATTCTTTGTCAAAATGATGTTACAAAAGATACAAATATTACACAGAAGAATATATATAAAGATTTTTTTTTTGCTGATTGTGCCCATTATTTATAACTTCACTGCAATAGAGAAATGTATCATATGTAAAAAAAATTAACAAAAATAATTTGTGGTTCATTACCGGCAAATTTCTGGTACGCCGTATCAGAAACCTTAAATTTCTTTTCTTTGGAAAAAAAAAAGAATTGCACACTCTGCGAACCTTTAAAATCTATATTGTAAAAATTCAAAAAATGTGTAGGATAGTACAGCACTTTTTAGATAAAGTTCAAATATGAATTTTAATATGTAAACATGTAAATAATAAGTAATAAAAGTTTACCCACTGAAATATATACATATATACAAATAGACACACACACACACACACATACATGTTTGCTCCCGCTAAACTTTATGTCCCTAGACAACACTCAAGTCAGAAGTTTTTTGACACTGCAAACAGTTTGTATTCCCGCCACCAGGAAAAATTCCTGGCAAAACACATCCGAAAATATATAGCTAGTCCCTATAAAAAGCTGCTGTTTGAAGAAGCAATGATTCCATGTGATTCGTTTAGCTCAATAACCCCAGGATTATGATTAACTTGGAGATTGGAGGTCTTAAGAATGGAGACAGAATACATTTCTCTATTATTTTTTTTCATCTCAGTATATCACCACTAATACTCGTCTGGCATAGACACTGTGACACTTCACTGTGACAAGACACTGAAATCACTATGGCAACAAAGATCTTCTTATTTGCCTACAGCTGCAATTCTCAAATAACAAAGTGGTTTTCTCTTCCAAGGAAACTAAAGTGGTTGCTGGGAGGGCATAAGGAGTCATGGAATAAAATTAAAGAAGTGTTTAAAAAGTGGGGAGGAAGTTAAAAAGAAATTAACCTGTATTTTCCAACTGGTAAGAATCAAATTTTCTTCGGCCACGTATTTCTGTCATGATGGGAAGCACCATTCTGGAGACCTCTTCCTGTTCGGTGAAATCTAGAAAGAAAATGACTCCCTTGAATGACTAACAGCCCTCCTGGCAGCTATTGCTATGTTATGCTATGGCAGCTATGCTATGCTATGTTTCATCCATGGGAACACTTGTGATAATCCACTCATTCTCCTTCCTAGTCCTATTGCTATAGATATCGATGTGCAGCCCGAAGCCAAAATACGCCTGACAGCTCCGCTTCCAATCTGGGGTTCCGTTGCGCTGCTGACAATCTGCCAGACTACTTAAAGTGACAAAGCTTGACAGCTCTGGAGGACAGAGAGATCTCACCAGGTTTTGCGAAAAAGGATGCAGCTCGAAGATTCTACATTTGTTTTGCCAAAACAGAAGACTCTGGAAATTCTGAATATTTCAGCCAGCAGCTTTTGTTTTCTTTGATCCCTGGTTGCATTTCCATTTAATGCACGTAACGTGAAATACATTTGATTATTGAACTACTTTAAATGAAGAACTAAATCATATCAGTCATAGTTTTGTTTTTTTAACAAAAGACATTATCACCATTCAAATGATAGACCAGTTTACAGAAGTAATTAAGTATGTTATATTTAATTTAATAATATATCTAATTAAGATGGAATAGCACACAGTGGTTGTAGGGAGAAAAAAAAACCACAGATTACTGTGATCCAAAGAAATTTCAAAGCTGTTTGTAATCATATTTGCAACATGTTTATGATGCAACTGTCTTTCTTGTTCCATTGGTTTCAATGGGTTTTCAATCCAATTTATGTTCAAGATCAGTAATTTTAAAAATAAGCCATTACCCTATTTTCTAGAATATACTGATGTAATTTATGTTTGAATTAGTATGATTTATTTTTGCTTTTCATGAAGATTATTTTTCCGATAATTAATAATTTGTTTGGCAGCTATAGGAGAAAGCATTCCTGACCCAAGTCTTTGCAGATAACTTCCTAGGACCTCCATTTTTCAAGCCTCAGTATCCAAATTTTGAGGGTCACCTTTTCTTGCCCCCCTCCCCATTGAAAGACTTCCATGGGGCAAATATTTACAGTAAGTGTTGTTTTTAATAGGCAGCTGCCTCCTGTGGGCACCTGGAATCTATGTGGGGCAGCAAAAAAAGCTCCCTCTTCACAAGGATAAGATTTGTATTAGATGGCCTCCATTTTTCTCTTTTAATCAGATTATAGGGCCCAAACAGTTGAACCTTACCTCCTCCCCTACCAGAAATGATAGAAAATAAATTATTTTTATTTAACATAAAATAAGTCTATGGGAGGACAGGCTGCCTGCAAAATAGCCAGCCAGCTGCTGGTATCCTGCCCCTTTAAGACCTCTCCTTAGATAGCCCGGCAACTTGTGGCTATAAAAGCTGAGCATAGAGGCTGCTAGGTGTGCCAGTATTGGTATGAGAGGGTGACCTGGTTTGTGTTTGGGGAACTGCGGAAGTCTGAAGCAGCCTATGGTAAATAGAAGAGTTACTGTTCCTCAGAAGTAGAGCTCACAAAGAAAAGTAATGGAAGAACAGGAGTTGTATAGAATTGGGGAAAAGTGGTAGAATAAACAGGTAGTACTAGCTTTGAGTGCTTGGGTGTGTGTTGCCTAGAGCAGGGGTCTCCAACCTTGGCAACTTTAAGACTTGTGGACTTCAACTCCCAGAATTCCTCAGCCAGCAAAGCTGGCTGAGGAATTCTGGGAGTTGAAGTCCACAAGTATTAAAGTTGTCACGGTTGAGGATCCCTGGCCTAGAGGCCTGTGGTTGTGTTGACTCTCTGGAGTTTTGGAGGCCACTGATCTGGGAAATAAATCCTTGGGGAATAAGGTAATTGTACCAGGAGGCTAGATGTGTATGTAAAAAGAAATGGACAGCAACCCTGGTGTGCCATGCCTATACTTGCCACTTTGATTTGACTAGTTCCAATAGTCATAATGCTCTGGAGCTAAATCCCAGGCCCAATCAGGAAACAGACTCTTCAAATCTTTGCTTCTCCGAGAACTTCCAGGGAACAACCTCTGGAGACAAGTTACTTCTAACTCCTTATCACTGAATCCCATTTTGTCTCTCTCATTGGAAGAGGACAGTTATTTTAGGGTCCTCAATGCTGCAGGTGTCTCATTCTATACAACGGATTTTTTTTACCAGCTGATATAAGGAAAAAATGTATTTTTCCTTCCACATGGCTCTTTTTAACTACAGTATGTGATTCTGTATTGAAAGAACTTGCGGGTTATAAATGGAAATAGCTGCCAATAACTTTTCAGGGAAACACTATGACAATCCTGAGATAAATCATCTGTATTATGCAAATATGGAAAATGTGCATAAAGGTAGACATCTCAAGTTATATTTGAATGACTTTTCCTTACACCCCTTATTAGGGAAGTGTGCTGTTGACATTTATTTTCAGCAGACCTTTGTAGAGCTGTGGGAGATAGCTAATAGAATTTTGGAACACCTTGGCTAAGTGTGGTTACTTGAAAGGACATATACAGCATTGGATGACAAAATGAAGCAAGCAGTATGTATAGTAAATAACACGATGCAAACCAAATCCTGGCTTAATGTTTTCAGAACTTTCAGCAAATGCTGCTTTCAAACTTTTCTCCATTTCCTTGAGGACAAAATGAACATGTTTCTTAACATATTTAAAATAGAATGATAGAGTTGGAAGGGACCTTGGAGGTCATTTAGTCCAACCCCCAGCTCAAGCAGGAGAGTCTATACCATTTCAGACAACTGGTTGCCAGTCTGTTCTGGAAAGCTTCCGGTGATAGGGCACTCACAACTTGTGAAGGCAAACTGTTCCACTGGTTAACTGTTTTCACCGTTCGGAAATTTCTCCTTAGTTCTAGATTGCTTCTCTTCCATCCATTGGTTCTTGTTCTGCCTTCATATGCTTTGGAAAATAGTTTGCCTCCCTCATCTTTGACTAGGACTAGGAACACACCCTAGAAACATATAGACAATCAAGGAGCCATAAGTAGCCTTTCCCTAAAGAAAGACATCTGTATAATTCTTTCATTGGATACAACTTTTGAACTTTACTTTTTAAAAAGCTTTCTCCAGTTATCTACCTTTTCAGATTGTAGCATTTTTCTACACCACAAAACAAAAGGTATTTTGAGCTGAGAGAAAACGAATACTAGAAAACATTTTAATATTGTGAACTGTGTAGATGTGTTTGTCTCATAGTTCTTGATAGATAAAGAGTTTCAGTAACCTTGACACCAAAAGGAAAATTTCTGCTCCAAGTATGTGAGGAAATCCTTTGTAAAATGGTACAAATCACCAATTGACAGGCTATATTTCCTGTGTTTCCAGGGAAGCTTTTGTTCTATACAATTTAACAAATTTACTTATTTTCCGAACTCCTCCCTTAACACTTGGGGGAGCAGTTTGGTGTATAGTTAATTCTCGTGTTATAATGGCACTTGAGATTTCCATTGCTAAGCAATATGGTCATAAAGCATGACATGATTGCTTCACTTAGCAACAACAATCCTAGCAGTGGTAGCTGCTGTCATATCTCCATGACTATGTGAGTCATTAAGTGGGAAGAGACGGGAGTCCAGGCAAGCAAGCCAGTGAGTGAAACCTACTGGAGGGGGGGATTTTAGGTGCCACAGGAGAGTAAGTCCTGCAGGGGGATGCTACAGAGCACAGGCGGGCCGCAGGGCACATGGACAGTGGCAGCAGGCTAGTCAAATGTGGACTGATCCCAGGGATTCTGGGACAGCAGAATTTTGAGGACTAGTCTTTAACTCCATTATTTTCACTGCCATCATGATATTAAACAGTTTGAACAAATGAACAGAAATAGTGGAGGCATTCGGCCGGTTCACACCACTTCGGCAGAACCGGTAGCTAATTTTTTGTTGCCCAGGCCCAGAATGGACTTTTGGAAGCAGCATCCACACAGAGAACCGGTTGTTTACATATGTGAATCCCACCACTGAATGTAAGCCATTTGACCTAATGGCTGCTCCACTCCCTCAACTGCAAATTCTTCCTCTCTGCTCTCTCAGACAACACAAGCCATCCTTCAACACACACTCAGGCGCTTATCCCTGTTTTCCTTTTATAATTGAAAACCAGGTATGGTGCAATGCTCTTCAGGCTGCCTTAAAGGGAAGAAAACAAAGGAAAGGGAAGGCTCACACTGGCCCTACAAACCTTTGAAAAACTGACTTGAAAATAAGAAGCTTAAATGATGCCTCCTGTGAGCAGATTCATAGAGCCATTCCTGAACATGGATCACTTTTGATGCTGGAATTTCAAGTTAGGAATGAATGTGAGTGGATGTTTGTACTATTCCTCCAATAGATTTTTGCAAAATTCTAGTGAATACCAGCACTACTTAAAGCTCTCTAATTATCTGAAGTAAACATTTGTCAGGAATAACAACTGGCCCACTGAAGGCTTCTCATTTAATTATGTAGTGAACTTTCTGTCTTTAATTCATCAAAATGAAGTACCAATCTATTCATTAATGTTTCCACACTAAAAAATATGTATAGTACTCTAACTGCTTGGCCTTTGAACACAGGCCTATTAGAAGCTCTGTGTAATTTGTGTAATCCTTAACTTGCTTATCCATCCGCATCATCAAAAAATTTTGTAAGTCCATCTGGGAACTAAGTAAATTACAACTTCTACAAAATCTGTATTAGTTTATGTCACAAGTAATCAGAATCTTAATGCAGAAAGGGTATTATGCTTTTTGAAGCAGCAATGAGCTCTCATGCTGAATGCCAAGGGCTAGTGTTCTTTGTCCTGATGTTACCCAACAGCTGAGGTTAACACCTTCAGTTATTATTATAATACAAATATTGTGGTTTTTCTTTGCACTGTGAAGTTACTATCAAAGCATTCCTCTTCTATCTCAGGATACTGCAGGAAAGAGGAGGTTTTGCAAAAACAATTGAAATTCCGCAATTTCACTTATTTACATTGTTCATCTTTATATCTGAAACCTGCTTTAATTTGTAGCTTTAATTGATATTTCTGTTGATTGATACTAAGCTACGTGTGAAATAGGAGAAGAAACATAGACAGCTATTGCTATATGAAAAAAAACAACCCCCCACCCCATTTTAGAGTTGAAAAAATATAAGGTTTCAGGACGTGAGTGTGAGACATAGTATTGGCAGTATAGCATTTCTGCAGATTTTAAAATCTTTCATCATTATCGAAAGATCAGATTGGAAACAAATCCCCCTGGAGGAAATCTCTGTATGGTCACTAAGAGTCCACACTGATTTGATGGCATATAATAATCAAATAGAAGTCTTCATATTGTTCCCCTTCCAGTTCACGTCTGAATTTGGGGTATCTAGATTTGAGCAGCAGTCAACTGAACAGCAGATCCTTGCTGTACTTGCCATAATGCGGAACATCCATTTGTTTCAATCCATCCAACAAGAAGAGCTGACCATTTTCCCATACAATTATGTTCCACTATTAAACTACTCTCAGCACTGAAAACTTTTTTTCCCC